TCCTTAAACACATCAGTGTGTGAAGGGCGAGTGTGGCGTGTAGTGTTCAGCACTTTGAGAGTCTGAAAGACAAAATTTTTTAATAGAAACACAGTTAAAACTCTGCTGAAGCTGAAAGTCAAGATCAGATAGGAAGTGAATATTAGACTCAGGATCAACTCCAAATGTAGAGCTGTACGTGTCCAAGCCAAAAAGAAGACATCCCCCTCCCTGCCTACATATTCAGTGTGACAATGGAGATAGGGAGTTGATGTGTTTCTGACACATGGGATATTTGGGAATAAATCTGAAAGAATAAGTCCTGAATATAAATTCACAGTTCAGAGTCCACACAGGTAACAATGATCACTAGGGCTGGGTATCGTCACTGATTTCTAGAATCGATTCAATCCACGATTCGGTTAGATTTGATTCTGGGAAATTTTGCCTCAGACAGTCAGAAATATTATTATTCAGATCAGTACATTTATATATTTTTGTATATAAAAAGGAAGCTGACACTTGGAAGACTTTATCAAAGGTGTGAGCATCAAAGCAGATGCCTTTGTGTCAAAGTAGCTGAAGATAAAACACAGACACGTTTTGCATAATTTTTAAAAGTTTAAATTTGTTCAGAAGCCTACTGAACAGCAGAAATTCGGTTTTCTTTTCAGAAGTAAGTAAAAGGAAAAAAAACAGCGGCCGACAGTGTTGTAAACAACGGTAGACTTGTGCGTAACAAGCAAGCAAATAATGCAGAAAACATTTTTAGACAGGAAACTGTTCTTGAAGTACAGAGAGAGAGAGAGCTGTGCATGAAGTGTGATTTTATCCTGGTGGAAGCAAAACAGCAAAAGTCAGAGTGAATTCATGACGATGTTTATGTGAAGTTTGGATCTTCTTTTGCTGCTGGTTCAGTCAATATTGTTCGGAGAGAGTTAAAACTAACAGCTTTAGAATCAGCGCAAAAAGGACGTAAACACAAAGCGCGGACTCGCTGAAACATCAGAATCAGCGAGCTGTCGGATTTCAGCCCCAACCGTGTCCGTGCTGTCGGGTGAGAAACGGGACATCTCACTGATTCTGATCTGTCGGCGGGTCCACGCTGTGTGTTTACGACTTTGTGCAGAATCCGTGTTCCTGCTCTCATTTACTGTTTTAGCTGTTTGGTGGTTGTTGAAATTTTGTGAGGTTTAACCTGAGATTCTGGTGTTTCGGGAATTTTTTTTTTTTTTTTTATAAAATAAATATTAAAAATCGATTCAGGATTTTAATGAATCGATATCATGTTATCCAAGCCAGAATCGATATTAATCGATAAATCGATAATCAAAGCCCACCCCTAATGATTCTTGATGAATCTTCTGTGACGACAGCAGAATGTATACTGGGGAAAAATCGTACGATTGTAACACCTGCGGGAAATGTTTTACTGACTCATCAGCACATAAAATCCACACAGGTGATCAGCTGTATTCCTGTAAGCCACATTTCTGGTGACACCAACAAACTGAATAAAGTGATGAGGAAGGCTTAATGCAAACTGGATATATTGGAATCTGTGGTGGAGAGAAGGTCACTGAACAAGCTGTTATCTACAGTTATCTTACACTAAGAGCTCCTTGTCTAACAGGCTGCTTCAGCTCCACTGACACAAGCACAGATACAGGAAATCTCTCACACTTCATGAAATAATTCTTTACGACACAGAATCAGCTGTTTGTCTCAGCCG